GAAAAGGAGGAGGACTTCCAGGGAGTGCAGTTGCTTTGTACACAGTAGATGGTCAATATGAGTTTCAGAGGCAGTAAGAATGAGAGAACTTCAAAATGGCCATGGAATATGAAACTACAGTATGAGTTTATTTTGATATGAAAACACTGAAATCCGTGCACATTTTTTTTTCAAAATACACATTTTCCATGACTTTCTGAAGACCCCTTGTATAGTGCATAGGCAGTTTGGTTCCAAAGACAAAAGATTTGAGCTCTAAATTCAGTCCTACCATTAATTAGACATTTACTTTCAGGAAAAACACTTCAATCTCCCAAGTACCAAATTTCCTCTTTCCAGAAAGTGGGTATGATAATAATATCCACCTCACTGGGCTATTGTGAAGATGAAATAATATAATACATAAAACAGTGTTTAGCACAAAGTTTGGATCATAGTAAGTGTTGAATAACTGTTAGTTATGCAATTTGTTAAACTGATTTTTAAAAACAATTGCTATACAGCACATGCGCTGCCAGAGAGAGGAAGAGAGAGAGCAAGGGAAAGTGAGAAAAGGGGTGGCCACTCTGTAGTCTCTTCTCCATTCTCTCGGGATTTGGGGTACACATGCACTTGTGCCTGCTGCCTTTTTCAAGCTGCTGGATCCAGGACTCACACTGCACAGTCGGCCTTGTAGGGTCCAGCCTCCTTAACCATTTTGCCACCAGCTAGCTGAACTGAATTTTTGATGAGGAATTTTCTTGACCTTTTTTAGTATTCCTTAATATATTTAATAAATGATGGATCTAGCCAGATGTAAAGGCATTATGAATTTCTTTTAGATAGAATTAAAATGTCATGTCATTCTCATGTCCTTTCAAACATTTTATACACTCAATATGTAAAGTCCTAATTTGACTGAATTAAGTTTCAGATTTTATTCTGGACTTCTCTGGAACACTTTCATGTAGAAGTGTCTACATGATAGTACGTGGTATCGGGTTGCCTTTGACACTATCCCTAAAACTTAATAGATCTGTAGTCTTCAAGAGGTCCCAAGATCAGCTGAGTAGGTGACTAAGATAGTATATTGAATGTGGTTTTGGAGCTCTATAACTAAAGTTTTCCCCATCATTATAAAAAAAAATCCTTTTCTTCCTACCGGGGACCAAGCCAGACAGTTCAGATGGATAAATTCACCATTGGAAAAATCAATACCTCACTTTATTGAAGTAACATCTTCAGATACAAAGAGCAGCACAGGTATTTATTTTTTAAAAGATTTATAAAAAATGTGTATCTCTAGCTAACTCCTTGAAAGCTGACCTTTTGAATTAGGATTAAACTTGCTTGGATTTTGCTTGTTTTGAGCATCCAAATTTGAACAGAAGTTTGAAGGCAGTGGTGGCATTTTATTCATCTTTGTACCTAGATACTGGTATATCAGTTGATCTATGCAGTAAATAGTGCTGATTAAAAATAATGCAAGACTATATCTTGTATTGAAGAGGCTGTAAAATTTAGTTGCAGAATGTGTGTTGGTTTTGTTTGTTTTAGTTTTTTTTTTTTTTCCCTCCATAGGGCTGAGAGTGTACTCACTAGAGAAAGACAGAGAGACACAGAGAGGGAAAGTGAGAAATCACTCCCCAGAGGAGATGGCCACGCTGCAATCCCTACTACATTTTCCTCTAGGGATTTTTGGGCATGCATGGACATGCACACGGTGTGATTTTCAAGCCTTTAGGTCCGGGACTTGAATTGTGGTTGGTCATGTGGCAGTCTAGTGCCTTAACCATACAACCTGCTGGCCCCTAGTTCTTACTGTTAATGCTTGTTTTTAATGAGGAGATTGAGATAAGAATTATTAAAACTTATCTGTACTCTAAAAGTTTGAAAAAATGAATCGGTTTTTCTGAAAAAAAATGTTCAGTATCGGAAACCAATAGATTAGAGTTTCTTCCTTTTTTTTTGAGAATCAATTCTTCTTATTTATCAGTGAGTACTTAGTTCTTCGCTTTTTATTTGTATTTCTTTCTTTGTATTTCTGTATTTTTGCTATAGGGTGCATGTGTTTGCCACAGAGAGACAGAGACAGAGATAGAGAGAAAGAAAGTGAGAAATCACCTCCCAGGGGACGTGGTCACGCCACAATTCTTTCTCCTCCATTCTCCTTCTGGGGTCTTTGGTGTGCATGCACACATGCCCAGCATGATTTTCAAGCTGCTGGGACTGGGACTCAAACTGCACAGCTGGCCGTGTGGGATCTAGCTGCCTTAACCTCCATACCACTTGCTGCCCCCCCCCCCCCCAGTTCTTCAAAGTTAATGAAATTGTAGACTTATTTTCTTGTTTTCATATATTTCTTTAGTCTCTGGTGGGTTTCTTTCTGACTTTGTCTAAATGAGAATTCATTATGTGTTTTGTATATACCCCATGTCAAAGAATAGCTTTATGATCTATTTTTCTGTACAAATCAGTCGATAGCAGTAGATATTCTCTTGAATTTTATTGATATGATTTATTTGATGATGTGAAATTAGAATTTAGTAAGCATTTATGTTACATGGGGATGCATCAAGTAGCCAATCTTGTTAATTGATTTCCTTTGTTTAGCAAAAGATGTATGAAATTGATAGAAACAGAAATCTATTTGGGGACTCTTAGGACAGTCATTTATTTTTTTCTCTAGTCAAATACTTTTCTCAAGCCATAAATTCAGCTTCTGAGGTAAGACAATTTAGCTTTTTATTTCTGTTTAATTTTTACCTCATCATCAAAAGGCTTTCTTACTTCTGCCTCCTTCAATCAATCCTCTTTTAAAACTTTGTGGGACCAGCAGATGGCGCAATGGTTACGCCACTGGATTCCCACACAGTTGACATGATTAGAGTCCCAGACCTGGTGACTTAAAACTCACGCCAGGCACATTTGTGTGTATGCCCCAAATCCCAAGAGGAGAATGGAGGAGAAGGGATTACGGCATAGCCATCCCCCCACAGGGGTGCGTTCTTGCTTTCTGTCTCTCTGATGAGCACACATTCCCTATAGCAAAAATCTCAATAAAAAAACCCCCCCAAAACAAACAAAAAAAAGCCTTTATTTTTTTCTTTCATGAAAGACAGAGAGAGGAGGAGACCAGAGTTGACGTAATGGCTATGTCACTGGACTCCCATGTCCTGGACCCGGTGGCTTAAACTCACACCAGGCACATGTGTGTGCATGCCCAAGATCCTGAGAGGAGAATGAGGAGAAGGGATTAGGGTGTGGCCATCCCCCCTGGAGGGTGATTTCTTGCTTTCTGCCTCTGTCTTTATGGCGAGTGCACGTGCCCTCTAGCAAAACACCTCTCAAAAAAACCCAAAAACCCAAAACCAAAAAAACAGACAGACAGAGAGAGACAGAGAGACAGACAAGTACCCTTGATAGGGCCTTGCCACAAGGCGTTCCTGCCCCAGCCTCTCAGCCGGTTAGAATCACAGGCATGTAGTTCAGCCAGAACCTGGACCTGGATCTCCCGTGGCTCCAGCATTGCTCAGGGGAGGTCTATGTCTGTACCAACATGGCTAAGCCTCTAATTGGCCATGTCTATCCTAGCTCGAGGTGATGGCTGGCAGCCCAAAGGAGCCCAGTGCTGAAGTTCATGCCAAGTAGACCCATAAACTTTGGAATGCTAGTTCCGACCTGTGCCAAAAGCTAATCATGTGGCTAGGGAAAGGCTTTTCTTCATGTTCCAATTTTATTTACTGGAAATGAAATATGTTCAAGCTGCAAATCTTGCTAAGTACAATGTGTATATATGTGGTTTTTATTTTGAATTTTTATTAGTGTTTGTGTGTATGTGTGTTTGTTTTATTTTGTTTTGCTTTCTGCTGTAGGTTTGTGCACTCACCAAAGAGACAGACAGCAGGAAAGAGAGAAAGTGAGAAATCCCCCCTCCCCACACACACAAGGATGGCCACTCTATAATCCTTTCTCCATTCTTTTGGAATTCTGGGCATGCATGCACATGCACCTGGCATGTTTTTCAAGCTACTGGGTCTAGGACTAGAATCTCATAGTTGGCCATGTAGAATGCAGTGCTTTAATCACCATACCACAGGCTGACACAGGGTGTCATTTTAGACAGCGTTTTACCATGTCCTGATCTCCCTACCTCAGCTTTCCAGCTGGGACTATAAGCATATGTCACCATGCCTGACTTTAAAGTTAAGCCAAGAATTGAACCCAGGCTTCTCATGTGTCCCCAGCCTGCCAAGTAGCAACATCAACCAGTGTTTACTGTGGCTGGAACTAATGTTATTTTATGGGAACTGTTAGAAATTCTTTCAGCACTCGTATTTGTTTAAAAAGATGTATTAAAATTGAGATCAATGACTCTCTTGTGTGAAATGATTTTGTTAATGATAACTGAAGGTATCCAAAGAACAATGTTAAAAATTCTGGGAGTAGTTAATTTATGATATAAAGTTTAATGTCTGAAGTTGTACTGTAGATCAGGGTTGTTCAGGCCAACCTACTCATGCCACTAGCTATTTCATAACAACGAAGGATACCTATTATCTTTGATAATACTTCTGACTCAGAGGCCAATAAAGTTCACAAGTGGCCCCAGAAACTCAAGTCTGAATTAGGATTGCATCAGAATATCTACAAAAGCCTTGTAAAGATGGCTTCAACTGGACATTATAAACAAGGTAGCCTCTGTGGAGATAGATATTCCCAGACTATGAAAGGGTAGGTTCAAGGATCCTGTTTAATTTATTTCAGTAACTTCCAACCTGGTTTGGAATAAATTGAATTCTTGGATATCCTTTAAATCAACTTAGTCTCCCTTGGGAGCTATGCTGGACCCATTTCTAAGTCCACCATATTTCTAAGTCCAGTCCACCTGTTTGGATGAGGTCTCCATCATTGAGGCTGACCCTGAATGAAGGCTGTCTCCAAAGGCAAGATTCAGGCTCAAGCATTGGGCCAAAGGCAGTTGACTGTACTGTTTCTAGCTCTATGTTGGGCTCCCTTACCTGATATAGGTTGGCAAGATGGTGATTTGTTTTGATCAAAAATGGCTGGTTCACCCCTGGGTGGTCAACATCGTGTGCTGCTGCAGCTAGCAGTCCAAGCATGATGTCCAGAGGTGTGAGGAAGCTGGCGAGCTGTAAAAAAATAAAGTGGGAGATTCACTGGTATGTTTCCACAAAGAGGTTAGCATTTGTTTTGGCTAAATCAGACAGAATGAATCATCATGGCGTTGTTCATGCCCACAGGTCAGACCTTTAACTGAAGCATTCAATGAGGTGATAAGCACATGGAGTTGCAGAGAGCAAAAAAGGAAAAGCTGTGTAAAAAGTAACTGAATAAACTCAAATGATGTAGCTCATCCCAGTACTCCCCTCTTCTTATTGCCACTCTGTCTTGTTTGGTGGTTGTAATGGTGTCACTGGTTGGCAACGCTGTTACACGGTGGGGAGGGAGAACCAGAGTCTGAATTCAATTAAGGACAAGTTAGAGCCAAGGTGATGAACATACTGAAAAATCAGTTGTGTATTTTAACTAACTAATATATCTTTGCCTTGTCATTGAAAGAAATGGGCTTAATTTTTAAATTTGCATTTTTCTTCAATGTCTAATAAAAATTGGGGGGATATGTGAAATTTCATGATGTTTTGGCTAGCTAGAAAACAAGCAGGGAAATCAGAACAACACTAACTTTGAATATATAACCGTGGAGACCAGCAGATAGTATAATGGGTACACATATGGACTCCCACATAATCAACAGGGTTTTAGTTTCATCCCCCAGGGGGGATGTCCGCTCTGCAATCCCTTCTTCTCCATTCTCCTCTTGGGATCTTGGGCATGCACACACACGTGCCTGGCATGAGTTTTAAGCCACTGGGTCCGGGACTCAAACCATGGTTGGCTACATGTGAGTTCAGTGACACAGCCATTACGCTAACTGCTGGTCCCAAGTAAAATAATTCTTGAAAAAAAAATCATTTTCCAAAACCTTAAGAAAGCTCATCTTGTACATAATACCAATTGGATTATATATAGATAAGAAATGTCTAGGTTTTGAGAAACAAACATTATTAGTATGTATTTAAGTTTTAGCTTTGGATTGGTTTATCACATCAGAGCATTCTGCTAATAGGTCTTTGACATTCACAAGTTTTCTCAGGCCGGAATCAATTCAGGATGTTTGATTGACTCGATAGAAAATGGAGCTTGAACCTTAAGGAACTTTGTTTACATTTGTCAATCAAAAACCACAAGGTGGGAGACTTTTCTCGGTAAAGGACAGTGATGGTGATATTTTATTTTTTTAAAAATTATTTTACTTAACTTTATTTATTTACTTATTTTTAATTTGACCAGAGAGGGACAGAGTAAGAGAGAGAGGTTTGTAAGTCACCAGGTCTGGGATTCAAACCTAAGTCTGCCATATGGGAGTCCAGTGCCCTTAACCATCACACCACCTGCTGGCCCCAGTGGAGCTATTTTTTGGCAACCATCCAAGGCAAAAGAGTTAGTTCTTCGATACAAAAGAGCTACATCTTCCATATACACCTTCAATGGCAGAAGGTCATCTAAAAACTAGAAGTTGCAGAGCAGATTGTTTTTGTCCTAATGCAGACTTGAAGATATATAAAATAAGGAAACCTCAGGAAATTCCATACATTCTTTCCATAAATATCACAAAATTTTCAGAGTTGATATTGAAATTTTAATACAAATAATTTGCATTCATATTGTGAATGACCCATCACACAGTTATTCAGATATGCAGAGTGATCGGGGCAGGCAGGTTGTGTACGTGGCCTTTCCAGGTGGCCGGGGAGGCAGCTACTCTTGCCTTACCTTGGGCTCCTTCAGGTAGCAGTGCATGGCCTGGGTGACATCAGCCGCATGAACAGCATTGTGATATGGATTCTGGCTATGGTAATCTTCTTGAACCATGACTAGGAGGTAAACACAACTCAATCAGCTAAAACTAAAATAGGAAGGGCTTATGAGCTCAGACTTACCAAGGGTGCTTTTAGCTCTAAAGTATTAGCCCCACCAAAATGTGCAGCCTGCGGATCTTTTACAAAATGAACGAGGTTTGCAAGCTTGGCAGTTCTGTTTTTAGTAGAGAGAAGGGGGAGGACGGAGGGGAGACCAGCTAAAAAGATTTGTGAGGCCCTTGAGATTTCTCACCTCCTTCATAAATCACTCTTTTCTGGCATTCATGAAGGCTCTCATTCATAGGAAAAATAAATAGATAGGAAAAGGACAACTTTATTTTACACTATAGTTTAATTATTTCAGTTTGCTGCCATTTGTGAATAAGATGCCGTTAAGTGAAATTTTCTTTCAAAAGAAAACTTAGGGCCTTAGGAGCATCAGACCACTGGTATCCCAAGATAGGTTTATCACTTGAATAACAAATCAAATCTGGGGTTTCCTTAGGCAGAAATTTAAAGTTATGCTTTGGTCCAACTGAGAACCCCTTGGGTTTATTTTTATCTTATTCAAGCTAACAAATCATTTTTCATGTTCTTCCAATCTAATGTAAGGTTTAAGAGTGTTCTTGGATTCAAATGGAGGCAAAGGTAAGGCCATTTTGGTTTGCTGTTTACAGAAGCCACTACTCTGCTTCAGTTAATAACCAAGCCAATGCTTAATATGCAATATATTTAGTGTGTACAGTACGTTTTCATTTGCACGTGTGGTCATATTTGCTCATCCCATGCCTTGAACCTCACTCTGGATTCTGCTGTTAATTCTGTTATCAAGCCTTTTTTTTTTTTTTTTTTAACGTGTTCTCTGGATTCATACACATGTCCAAAATATCTGGATCTTTCTCTTTAGAGAAATTAAAATTACTTGGCTCGATTCATGACGATTACTTTACTGAATCAATGAAAATATAATCACTTGAGGTTATTTGTATTTCTGGGGCTGAGTCACGTTATGGCTGGTTTCAATACTTCTCTTGTGCTGCATATACCTTTTATTTGGCAGGGTTTTTTTTAATAATTATATTTAAACTCTGGCTCTATCACTTATTGGGCAAGCTACTTAACTGAAATTTCCTCTGTTGTCCTCTTTATAAAATGGAGATAACAATACATCTGAACTCAGTGTGGCTATAAGGATTAAACGTGCTTATATTAATAAGCCAGTTCTTGGAAGCGATCCCAGCAGAAGTAAGTGCCGTATAAACCTGGCTGTCGTGGCTGCTGTTAATATAATTTTCACTGTTATTTTACTCTTGATGGCATTAAGTTAACTTCCAAATTCACAGCACAGCCATGTGGCAAGTCAAAGAAGCCAGCAAATGCTAAGTGGTAGAGGGAAGCAAGCCATTTGGTGATCAGAAATGTGCCCCAGATAATTCGCTGGCAGATAAGTAAAAATATGCACAAAGTCAAACAACTGGGGCTGATTTTGAAAAAAAGCATACGTGTGTGTGTGTGTGTGTGTGTGTATGTGTGTGAGAGAGAGAGTGAGAGAGAGAGAGAGAGAGAGAGAGAGAGAGAGAGAGAAAACCTTCCAATAAGTTTGGTTATACTGCAGTCCCCATTCCTTCATTACTCTATCCCCTCAGGATTCTGGCCATGCATGTACAATGTTTGCCTGGTTGCCATCAGGGCTGGGATTTAAACTTGGTCAGTCATGTGAGATTCAGCTCCCTTGTACAGCTCTTAACCACTGTGTAATGGGGCTGGTCCTGGGGCTTTATTTTATTTTTTTTTAATCAAGAGTGATGGTGGATGTCAGTGGAAAGATGGCAGGTTTTTAAATCAGATGAACCTGGGCTTGGACTGAAGTTCTGCCACTTAGCCACCGGCCTTGGCAAGTTGCGAGACCTTTCTGTATCTCTCATTAACTGTAAGCCAGTCGTGATAATAATGTCCAACTTGCAGAGTTGTTCAAAAGGTTAGAAATAACTTACTCAAAGTACCTTGTCCATAGTGGGTGCTACATAAATGATAGTTATTATTAAAAAATATGCCGGCCCAGTAGCTTGGTGGTCAAGTGAACTGGATTCCATGTGGCTGAAAGTGTGGTTCATATCCCAGCCTTGATGGTTTGAAAATCATGCTGGCTGATTGTGTGTGTGTGTGTGTGTGTGTGTGTGTGTGTGTGTGTGTGTATTTGCATGTGCCCAGAATTCCAACAGGATGGAGAAATGGGGAAGGAAATGTAGTGTACCACACACCATTGGAGGGTGCTTCTTCCTCTCTCTCTCTTTGTCTCTGTGTCTCTTGGTGAGCACACATGCCCTTTGGCAATTAGAAAAAATAAAAATAAAGAACAACCCAAATGCCTGTTAAGATGTTCAAAACTCACGTTTTGAATAGAATGATTTAAAACATACATTGTGGGGGAGGTTGTTAATATGTGGGAAGATGAGCGTCTTTGACAGCTCTAAGTTCTGATAATTTTCTTTATATAGCCCTCATTTATTGTAAACATATAAATATCCAAGTAAATAATTTGTCAGTGACTTAAGATGGGTAAGTCATATTTTAAAATCAGGATTAGATCCTTTAAAATTAATATGAGGGTCTTGCCACTTTATATAAAACATACTGTGTGTTGCCATCGTTCACGGGATGAGAGTAGGAATATGGAAAAAAGACTTACCTAAAAACCTGTGTAAGGTCACCATATCTAACTTGAAATGGTGAATGAGTCCATGGGTGTTGAAGAGGTGGCACAGCAGGGTTACCAGGCTGTTTCCTAGAGAGAACCAGTCACCGGCTTTTAACTCACTCTTATCACCATTAAAATATCCACATGACAATAAAAGTTGACAATAAATTCCATGTCTTTCTAATGAAGTATCTCTGATAGATATAAAATTTTTCCCATTTACATATAAAATTTTTTAAGTGTAGTGGACATAATTACTATGATCTAGTCCTACGTTTTCTCTCATGGTACATGTAATACTACCGTAGGCCTTCTCTCTGCATGTAAGGACAACATTTAGGGTCAGAAGAAACCTGACATAGTATCAGGGACACACATGGTGCACAGAAACTTAATAACCGAAATCAGTGGCAATATTTAGTTTTACAGTGTGGGTATATTTGTTTCAAGATACAGTTAACAGCCACTTGAATTATGCCTTCTCGCTTCCAGTGGACTCTTGCATTTCAAGGGGTGTCTAAACCACCACACTTAATAATCATAGCGTATTCGTCTCCTTATGGAAAATTACTCAAGAGGAGATTTGACTACAAGATATTTTAGAACTCAAGCCAGCAGAGATGCAAAATTGAAGCTATAGTAACTTATAAGCATATAAAAATAATGTCCATTTAAAAATAATGATTTCAAATTTTAAAAGCATTATAGAGTTTAAGAATTTGAAATAGATCAAGAAAATTTCTGAGGATCTCAAGTGGAAAACTAGATGTTCCCTAAGTATACTCTTCCAGAGTATGTGATTCTATGTGTCTCTGCAACTCATTGCCTTCAAGCTATTTCACAACTCTCTTTTGCTAGCAATACCTAATAGCTTTGCAAAAGATTCTTGTCCATAGGTTTGCAAACAAAATTAGTCAAGTGGAAATACAACTAAATTACTTCTCCCAGTTTTACAGCTATTTATAAGTTTATTTCAGCAAGTAGTATGCATATATTTGTGTGTAGTTCTTTGACTTTTCCTTTGAACTAGGTATAGATCTTACTGGAATTCTAATGAATTGAATTAAAATCTTTGATATCTATTCATTTTATATTTCTATGAGAGTCACAATTATACTCTCTTGTAGACAGATATCGTTTAATAAGTTCTTTTGTTCACAGTTAATTTCATTTGCCAGTATCTGTTTCTCCGCTGATTTGAGCAAAGTGAAATGCAAGGTTATGGGATCCATCCCCGCCTGGTCTAGTTAGCTTTCCGCAGTGTAAAGCTCAGCTTTGTTTTGCGATTTTAGGCTCTCTTGCTCTCAAATACACATTGTTTGGTAAGAAAACCATCTGTAATGACTTAAAACACAGTCTGGTAGATGACGGGACATACAAAAGGCGGCATTATATGAGATGCCTGTCATTGGTTCCCTAGCTTTATCAGCATTTAATAGGCAGATGAAAATACAATAGAATTTTTTTATTCTCTAAAGGAAGGGCTTGTAAGCATGAAAATTTAAAAACTGAAGTCAATGGAAATGTTTACTCTTCTCTTTAAGTGCAATCTAAGCTTTCACAATCTTTCCTCCATCATAGTTTTCTTCTGATAACTCCAGGCATCTCTGCCCCGTAATAGGGCAGACTTAGCTCAGTTATTAAAACTGCACAGGTACCCTGCCCTGTAAGAGGCAGGTGCTCAGACGTGCTTTTGTATTTCTAATTTTCATCGACTAACGTGAACTTCCTACTTTTGGATCTGGCTGAAGCATTCTGCAAGGAAAGAAGTTAATCTGTGATTTCCAAATTCTTTTGAGACCATCCAGGTCAGGAGGAAATAGTCTTTAAGATTTCTAAGGCCAAATGCGGTCCTTATTTTTCATCTGAATTCATTTTCCCTTGGTCTGGTCCTTTTTGAGTGGGTATAGATTCATGAAAGGAGGGAAAGAAGGAAAGATAATTAACAGTGCTTAAAAATAAATTCTGTTTTTCATGAAGTTAGTCCCACATTATGGTGTGTATTTTAGTGAAAATTCTTTTGGGAAACTTACCATTTGTCAAGCGATCAAATAAGAAAATGTCAAAATCCCACATTCCCACTTTGGAGAGCATATGCTGAAAAGGCAAACAAAACAGCACTCAAATGATTCCCATCAGAGACTCAAACATTTACTTTGAAACACAGTGAATCAAACAATTAAAAAGTTGAAAACAGTAGCATGCTACTATGTACAACTAGTTTATTCTAAAACAAATCTTACTCTGCTGACTAATCAGTGTTCAAGCGGATAGGCTACGGAGTTAAACTGCCCGGTCCAAGGTCAGCCAGAGCTCTTACTGGCTGTGGGGCCTTAGGAAAAATTCCTCAGCCTCTCTGGACCTCCGTTTTCTAATCTGAAAAGCGTGACTGATAATACTGTGTGTTTCAAAGGGTCATTGTGAGGGTTAAATAGGAATATATGAAAAGGTCTTAGAACATTGTTCGTTCAAAGGAAGCATGCGCATTTGGTGTCTGTTAAATTGTAGTTCAGAAAAGTCTCTACATCACAAACTACTATATATTTAAGTGAGGAAGTTACAAAAAAAAGAAGTGAAAATGATTGCTGAGCATATTACTCTACTCAATGTGAACGGAATGTGCAATTAATCCCTATAAGAGGAAACCGAAGAGTGGGTAATTGAAAATATTGGGTGGTTTAAAGACCTACAGTCCAATGTTGGCTCATTTTTTTCTTTTGAAACCTACTCCATGCTTAGACTTAGATAAGCTAACTCTAGACACGAAGTTGCAGCTGTTGATTCTGCCCTCATTGCAGCTTTTGAACCCGTGTCTCCCCTTCTCCTCGTAGCCACTGACCCAAGGGTTTCCCTGGGTCCTGTGGAAAAACCCAAATGCCTTGGCATGGCCCCAACACACTTTTACAGTGATTCAGAAAAATGAAGGAAGTCTTTTTTGAGATCTAAACTGACTGAGGCTTTTACCCAAATCACACAATACTAAAGGTAGAACCAGAACTTAACCTCTGACGTCTAAACTTCCAGCCTACTGTTCTAACCACATCTCAGCAATACTTTTCTCAGCTGAGAAGACAGACATCCCCAAGAATGTTCTGTCATTGACTCCTTCCAGGGGACCTTAGCCTTATTCTTCTCTCAGCACTCAGACAAAACCAAGCAAGCAAGCATTCACCCAATCTCGGGCTTTGGATTGTTAGGAGGACTGACTTTTCTGTCATTGTTTCCTTTTTGTAGACTTAATATTATAAACAAATTCTTCTGAGATTACTTGTTGCTCATTTCATTTTTTTATTTGTTTGTTTGCTAGAGGGTACCTGTGCTTGTTGAGAGTGACAGAGAGAGAGAGAGAGAGAGAGAGAGACTGAGAGTGAGAGAGAGGGAAAGCGAGAAAGCATCCTTCATGGGGCATGGTCGCATTACAATCCCTTCTCCACCTCTCCCTCCTCTTGGGATTATGGGCACACACATGAGCACTTGGTGCATTTTTCAAGCTGCCGGATTTGGGATGCAAACTGCGTGGTCAGGCCATGTGGAATTCAGCTGCCTTAACCACCACTCCATGGACTGGTCCACCCATTTCTTAATAGTATATATTATTAGAGTGCATCTCTTAATAGTATATAGACAGTATAGTATCACTTCACATTTAGGCTATAATATATAAAATACTACCATTGACTGTTTAAACTGGGGCAGTTTATTTCTGAAATTTATGTTCCTTTGGCACTGGGGCTAGGAGTAACGTAAACTTTAAAAAAGTGGTCATTCATTAATTTCTACCTCAGTCAGATCTATGTATTGCAAAAGTAATTGTAAAACTATTAGGAATTATTTGAGGGCCAGCTGGTGGCATGGTGATTAAGGCAGCCAGATCTCACGTGGTTGACTGTATGGTTCAAATCCCAGACCTGGTGGCTTAGAAATAACGCTGGGTGAATGTGCATGCATGCCCCAAATCCCAAGAGGAGAACAGAGGAGAAGGGATGGCAGTGTGGTCATTCCACACTGGAGGGGGTCATTTTTCACTCCTCCCCCTTTCTCTCTCTATTTCTCTCCAGTGAGTGCACATGCCCTGTAGCAAAATTTAAAAAAATAAATTATTTGTGAACCAGCTGGTGGCATGGTGGTTAAGGCAGCTGGATCTCACAAGGCCAACTGTGCAGATGGAGTCCCAGAGCTGGCAGCTTGAAAAACACTGGTGCATGTATGTGTGCCCAAAATCCCAAGAGGAGGGAGAGAGGGAGAAGGGATTGTAATGTGGCCAGAATTTCTCTGCAACCCCCTCCTCTCTCTCTTTCTCTGTTTTTCTGTGGTGAGGGCATACATCTATAGCAAACTAAAAACAAAAAAACAAAAACAAAAAAACCTGAAAGAACGGAAAATAATAAAAAGGCTATTGTATATTAAGCGTCTAAAGTGGAATTAAGAGTTGATAATTATTCAGTTATTTTCAGTGTGGCTATAAAAATGTAATAATTTAATGGGTTAAAAATATATTTATTCTCTTGGGACCAGCAGTTGATGTAATGGCTATGTCACTGGACTCTCATGTAGTTGACTGTGGTTTGAGTCCTGGACCCGATGGCTTAAACTCATGCCAGGCGTGTGTGCATACATGCCCAAGATCTTGAGAAGAGAATGGAGGAGAAGGGATTGCAGCATGGCCATCCCCCCTGGAGGGTGATTTCTCGCTTTCTGTCTCTCTGTATCTCTCTGTCTTTCTGCTGAGCGCACGCGCCCTATAGCAAAAACCTCTCCAAAGACAACAACAAAAACAAACAAACAAACAAACAAAATATTCATTTCCTAACTAGAAGTCTACTAGTCTAAAATTTTACTTTATGTAGTGTCGTACAAGCATGTTTTTCACATTCATAAAAATGAAACTAGCAGATGGCGTAACGGTTACATCACTGGATTTCCATATTGACTGCGGTTTGAATCCTGGACCTGGTGGCTTAAACTCACACTGGGTGCATGTGTGTGCATGGCCAAGATCCCAAGAGAAGAATAGAGAAGAAGGGATTGCGACGTGGCCATCCCACATGCCGTACAGCAATGACTTAACGTTTTGTCTTCCTCTTTCTTTCCAGCAAGCACACGTGCTCTATAGCAAAAATCTCTCTTAAAAAAAAAAAAGAAAATAGCTAACATGTGCTAGGCATGAATATGTTAAGCATGTAAACAGGTAGCACCTCATTAATCCTTGGATTTTCTATTTGAGGGAAAAGTCCACATCTATTGACTAACTGCTACTACTTATTTCTGCTAATTTCACTTTACGTTTGAAGGAAAAGCCCAGAGGTGCTGAACAACTAGCCCATGGTCACAGAGCTCTCAGTGGCAGAGCAGGACTCAAACCCATCAGCTGAGGAACCTGCCCTTCGCCGCTGGCCTACCGAGAGGAGACAGAGGGGTATGGCTTACCCTTGCTTGTCCAAGGTAGTCTTCATCCAGCAGGTGAAGAGGGGCTTGTGGTATAATTCCACGAAGCAGCCTCGATGCATGGAAGTATCTTTGAAAGCTTAACAGTCTTTTCACCTTTTTCTTGGTGCCAATTTCCCCTGAGTGTGTTGTATCTGTGGAAATCAAATCCAGAAGTTTATGTAGTTAAAAGGAGGATTATTTTCTCCATTCTGTAGAAATATATTAAAAAAGAGAGACATGTAAAACATGCTCTTAGTACTTCCCTATGTCTATTTAACTACATTTGAAATTCTTTCAGAATATAAATAATATTTCTTATACATGAAATTTATTAAAATGTCAAGATATTTCTGAAAGTAATTTTGGAAGGCATGAAATACATGAATTAAAAACTTTCTTTTCTTGATCATGTTGCTGGTGTGCTTAATAAAGAAAATTCATACACTTTTGCATGGATTTGAATTGAGCACTTAAAGCTTTTTTTTCTTTTCCCCCAATATTGGAACTGAGGTTTAACCATTTATACCAAGTTCTTGGGACCAGCAGATGGCATAATGGTTACATCTCTGGATTTCCATGTAGTTGACGGCAGTTTGAGTCCTGGACCTGGCAGCTTGAAACTCATGCCAGGCATGTGTGCATTCATGACCAAAATCCTGAGAGGAGACTAGAGGAGAAAAGATTGCATGTGGCTATGCCCCCTTGGGCGTGATGCCCTCAGGGGTATGATTTCTCACTTTCTATCTCTTTCTGTCTCCCAGCAAGCGCATGTGGCCTATAGCAAAAACTTCCTCAATTGAAAAAAAAAGTATACCAAGTGCATTCCATATGTCCCCTACTTTGATGAACTCCTTCCTCTGAATAAGAAGAGCTGCAAAAATACCAGTTTAGATGCAAGGAAAATGCTTTCTACTGTCCAAGGAATGTAACTGACAAAGGAACCAATAATCTGAACATAACAGTGACACAGAGGCCCCTGATAAGAAGTGGAGAGGGTGTTTACTTTTTAATGGGGTGGATTCTGTTTCACTGGTGGACATAAAAATCTGATCTTATTGGTAGAAATATCTTAATACTCATATGTCACTTGCCTTTCCAAACTGTCCCATGCTGTTGACACCATGACAATTGTCTAGAAATACCCAAAGCACATTATTTGAGTGTCTGCCACGGTATGTCATCTGAGCTGAGATTACATGGACCACTCCAGGGCCACAGAAGGATGTCTGCTGCCCATTTTGGATATAAAGTCAATTTAGCAGTCTAGTAGGAAAATCTACAGTTCATATATAAAGTAACGTTAGTTTCTGTGGTACTTTCTCCCACCTCCCTCTCCTCTCCCTTTATAAACCCAAAATCACAATGAATGCCAGAAGCAGAGAAAATGGGTACTTCCAATAGCCATGAGTGACCAAAAGCAATTTGTCACTTAGATTGTATCAAACATGCAAAGTCATAATAGAAGGAAGATAAAACCTACTATTCTCTGGAAATTCACCTGATTAAAATTATTTTTATTTGACAAGTAGATATCAGAGACTGTACAGGAGGGGAGTGAATAGCAGAGGATGGTGGGAGTGCCCTAGGGAAGAAACGCTTAACAGACACAGGAATGTAATGTTCTCTGTTGAAAATGATCCATGTGGGGAACCAGCAGTTAGCGTAATGGCTATGTCGCTGGACTCCCATGTAGTTGACTGCGATTCGCGTCCTGGACCGGGTGGCTTAAAATTCATGCCGGGCACATGTGCATGCATGCCCAAGATCCCGAGAGGAGAATGGAGGAGAAGAGATTGCGGTGTGGCCATCCCCCCTGGGGGGTGATTTCTCACTTTCTGTCTCTATGTCTCTCTCTGTCTGTCTGGTGAGCACACGCGCCCTAGAACGAAAACCTCTCAAAAAAAAAAAAAAAACGCCGCGAAAAAAAACCCCTCAAAAAAAAAAAAAAAAAAAAAAAAGAGAAAAAAATGACCCATGTGGTAATAGCCTTGATTTGATTGTCACACACTGCATGCATATTTTGAAAAACTACATTGTGTGCTATAGAGATGTACAATGATTAAATGTAAATAAGAAATTATAAAATAAAAAAAAGACAAATAAAAAAAAACATAAAATGGACCTAAATTTTATGTCTGGTAAGAAGGCAACAATATGAATGAGAATAAGTGTAGTACAACTATAATTGTAAAGTTTAGGCACAAGCTAGTATTAAAAATGATATATGTGGTCTTCCTTCTACTGGTAGGCTCTCACTTGCTTCCATAAGTTTATTAAATCATAGAACAGAATAAAATGGGTCTTCATTTACTTAAAAAAAAGTCAACAACTGAGGGACCAACAGGTGGCATAGTGGTTAAGGAGCTGGACTCCCACATGGCTGACTGTGGTTTGAGTCCTGGACAAGGTGTCTTGAAAGTCACACTGGTCTTGTGTGTGTGAATGCCCAAAAATCCCAGGAAGAGAATGGAGAAGGGACTGAAGTGTGACTTTTTCCCCTCATGGGTAATTTTTCACTTTCCATCTCACTATTTCTCTCCAGCCAGGACAAACGCTGGATGGCAAAAGTCTAAAAATAAATAAATAAATACAATTGAGTGCCTTCCAAGGGATTGGCCCTATTTTTGATACTTGGTGAGGCCCTCCAGTTTTAGATCCTTTAGTGAGCAAAACCAGTATCCCTGACCTTTAGGAGCTTCTAGAAGAGAAAGAAACCTTAAATGCTAAACACACACACATACACATAAAAGTAAATTATAAAATATATTAGAATGTTTTCATGTTCTGTGAGGGAAAAAGGAAAGTGGTGTTGGGGTAGTTGCCATTGGTTTCATGAGATGGTACAATTGGATCAGCACTTAAAGGTGATGAGAGATTTGGCCAAGGAGATTTCTGGGGAAACAACTTCTATACAGAGGAACCAGTTCCAATAATTACCAAGAGAGGGAACATATCTAAGGTGTCGGTCTGTGGAAGGAATACAGTTCAGTGTGCATGGGGAGAGCAGAACAAGGGAGTGAGAGATGAGATCTTAAAGCAAAGTAGGTCTTGAAAATTACACAAGGCTCAGTGTACCTGCTATTGGTTTTGCCACAGGGTGTGTGTGTTCACTGGAGAGACAGTCCCAGGTGGGGCTCAAAGTGAACATTACCAAAAATGGGAGAAACTGATATCATGCATTCCTTGATGTAATGTACTGAGGATACAACAATGACAGATGTAGTATTCCTAAAGCAATGACAACTGGGGTCAGCAGGTGGGATGGTGGCTAAGGCACTGGACTCTCACATCAGTGACAGGGGTTCAAATCCCTGACCTGACAGCTTGCTTTCTCACTTTCCCTCTCTCTGTCTCTCTGGTGAATGCACATACCTTGTAGCAAATTGAAAAAGATAATAATGATGATAAATAAAAGAAAATTTAAAAAGGCTATTTAAAAAAGAGATCTGATACAGTTAAGAAGAAACATCAGAAAACCTGTACTTTCTCTCTCTCTCTCTTTTTTTTTTAATGATAGAAAAAATGTGGGAAAGATATAGGATGGAGTGAGAGGGAGAGAGAGAGACAGGTATTGTTGACAGGGTCTTGCCATGTTGTGATCCTTCTATCTCAGTCTTTCAGTTGAGAGTACAGGACAGTGTCACCACACGCAGACCCCCACCCCCCCTTTTTAGAGAGAGGTGTTTTTTTCTTTTTTTTTTTTTTTTTTGCTATAGGGTGCGTACATTCGCCAGAGAAACAGAGAGAGACAAAACATGCCACAATCCCTTCCCCACTCTCTTCTTGGGATCTTGGGCATGTACGCACACAGGCCCAGTGTGAAATTTTTAAGCTGCTGGGTCCGGGAATCGAACCCTGGTCAACTACATAACCATTATACCATCTACTGGTCCCATCCAGCTTTTTTTTTTTTTTAAAGACAGGTTCTTGCTCTATTGCCCTGGCCAGCCTGGAGCTTGCAGTTCTCCTATCTCAGCCCCCTCAAGTTACTGGGACTAAAGACACATGCCACCATGCCTGACCTTTAAGTTGGATTGGGAATTGAACCCAGGCTTCTCATGTGGTCCTAGCCTGCACATAACATATTAGCAGCACATGACACTGTGGCTGGGTCTCACACTTAGTTTTTTATGATAGCATGTAGGTTAAAAATGTCACATATGCCACTCACCATGAATGTATTGAAAGCTTTTGAACAAATTGATTATCATTGATGTGTATTTTTTATTTATGTACTTTTGAAAGTACACAAGTAGAGGGACCAGCAGGTGGCATGGCAGTTAATGCACTGGACTCCCACATGGCTGAGTGTGCTTCAAGTGTTGGACTTGGTGGCTTGCTTTCTCATTTTCCTTCTCTCTCTCTCTGTTGAGCACACATGCCCTATAACAAACTTAAATAATAATAATGATAATAAATGAATTTTTTAAAAAATGAAGTATATCTGCTAAGTTGCATTATCAATTGGTGGCCAACATCTTTTTTTAAATATTAAGGCAAGTCATGACTATGTCATTTAGCACTCTGTCTGGGTTATTTTTTAATTAACAAGAGGATGATTCAGAAGTGATGGTAGCTAGATACCCATTTTTAAAACAATTGCACTTAACCTGCTTATTTGAAGGTACACTTAAAGCTAAATGGAAAACATCTTCAAGGTAGTGCTGTAAAGAGGAAAAACATGCAATATCACAAGAAAAACAAAATTTTAAAATAACATTAATGATTTGTCGATCAGGTATCATTTAGGGAGCATTTTGTGCTATGTAAGACAATGATAAAAGATAGAAGAAGCAGAAGATATAGGTGGGAGAACAAAACCATATAGTAAATATCTGTGACTAAAGCACCGTTCTGTAAAACAGTATTCGATACTGCTTTCTGAAGTATTGAAATATGTTATATATTTGACGAGTAAGCTCCAACACATTGGTTTCATAAAGGACTTTTAGTGCATAGCTAGCATATTTACTTTGATAAGGGGTATAGATATATGTATTTTGGATAGAAATTTCAGTGATTAGCTAAGCTAAATCTTATAGAAAGCTCAGCTAACTTCAGTTTGTAAAAATTAGGGAATCTTAATGTGTCCAGTAATAAAATGCTGTTTACTAAGCCCTGTTTGTTTATTTATTTATTTATTTATTTAGAG